AAAAAAAAAAAAAGAGAAAGGACATTTTGAGATGTGCTTTGAACCTGAACCCTTGTTTGGACCCATGGTTCTGAGCTTCTGGGGTCTGAGAAGTCCTGGACCTGGGTTTCCCATTCCCGTTAGCTCTCCTTCTCTCTGTCTTCTCTCTTGAAGAGCAGACAAGGAGCTGGTGCATCACCACAGGGGAGGGCGAGATAATGTGTGGGGTAGTCGGGGGCTGCTGGAGCCTGGGCTCGTCCCTCTGAGCAGCTACCTGCCTGTTGTGTCCACAGGAGAATTCTTTTGGCTGGAGCCAAAGAATGCATTTGAGAATTTCCAAGAACCTGACATCGGCCTCGTCGCTCTGGCTTTCCTCCAGGGCTCCTTTGCCTATGGAGGCTGGAACTTTCTTAATTACGTGACTGAGGAACTTGTGGATCCCTACAAGTGAGTCAAACAAGGGCAGCTTTTCTCCTCACCCTTAGGCCCCACGGTACCCATGGCTGGGAAAAGGGAGCGTAGATCCACTTCTTGTCCCAGTTCCGGACGTGTCCCGTTCTTTCATGAAGCAACAGTTCATTTCCCAGGAATTTGAACCACTTACTATGCGCCTTGCTAAGAGAAGAGAAAGGGTCCTATGACTGTCCCAGAGCAAGTAAAAAAAATCAGAAAGCTGGGCCGGGCATGGTGGCACACACACCTCTAATCCCAGCACTCAGGAGACAGAAGCAGGTGGATCTTTGTGAGTTCAAGACCACCCTGGTCTACAGAGCGAGATCCAGGACAGCCAGGACTACACAGAGAAACCCTGTCTCAAAACAAAACCAAAAAAAAGAAAATAATAATAATAACCAGAAAGCTGTGCAGGACAGCGTGGCTGCTGTAGAGAAGGAGATGTTCTAGACATCTCAACATTTTACTGGTCTGGGGCCAGGCCCAGCCTTCTGTCTTCAGGCCGCAGAAAGGGTGCATGGTCCAGATCTGAGCCAAGACGTGGTAAGGAGAGTGAGACACATTTCTAGCCTTAGCCGTTCTGCTACCTCCTAATGATCCTGCCCCACCTGAGTCAAGCCCTGCCTCCCAGAGAGAGGGAGAGCCAAGAAGCGGCCCGTGTAGGCCCGTGCGGTGCCCTGGTAGAACACACCCCTGCTACGGGCTCCCTCTCACCTCCTCTCCCTCCACAGGAACCTTCCTAGAGCCATCTTCATCTCCATCCCACTGGTCACATTTGTGTATGTCTTTGCCAATGTCGCGTATGTCACTGCAATGTCCCCCCAGGAGCTGCTGGCCTCCAATGCAGTCGCTGTGGTAAGAGATCACTCGGGGTCCCAGGCCCAGAGTGCTGGTGTAGCTCTGCCTGCTTAGACCCCTGGCTTCTCCCCAATCCAGCGCCTCGTGGCATTGGAAGGCATCCCACCTCCTCAGGGTCCAATCTACACGTGTCCTCCCTCGACAGGGTATCCTCAAGTGCCCGGGGAGCAGACCAATGGCTGGGTTGGTTCCAAAACAGCTACCCTGGCTGCCTGAGAAGTTGCCGCCGCCGCCGAGTCTATATGGCGGCTTTCGGTATTGAAACAGCTACTTGTACAGAACAGGTTCACGGAGTCCTGGTCTAGGGCACTCTAAGCATGCAGGCTGTGTAAGAAGATGGGCAGAGCGCTCTTCACAGAGACATATGCTTGCACAAGACATACTGATTCTCTGTCCTTTCTTTCTCTGGGGATCGTACAAACTGATGGCTCTCATCAGGGAAAAGTGGGTATTGAATGGCCAAGGATGTAATTCGGCAGTGGAATGCTTGCCTAGCATGTGCAAGGCCCTGTGTTCCATCCCCAGCACCACACACACACACACACACACACACACACACACGCACACGCACACGCACACGCACACGCACACGCACACGCACACGCACACGCACACGCACACACCCATACACACGTACCTGATGTCTGAGGGAGGCCTAGGAGCCATGCTATACTTCACCCAGCTTCAAACCAAGCACTGGCATCTCTTGTCTCATCTTTGAAAATAAAGATGCCCTGCCATCTCCTGTGGCCGCCTGCTCCTAAATCCAGCAGCCTCCCACGCACAATAGGACATCGATTCTAGATACTACCTCCCAGGCGCATCTTATAAGCCTGGCTCAGAGACTCTAGCAAAGTCTGTGTACGTATACATGGATATGTACATGAAGACTCATCTATAAATTCACAACCACTTCTTTCTCAGCTAAAGAAACTAGCCAGTCTTTATTTTCCTACCAATAGAATCTGCTTCTGTGAATTTAGAGACTCGGACTGGGGTTCATCCCTATTTTATCCCTGGGAAACTGAGGCTCAAGAATAACAAACCCAGGGCTGAGAGAGAATAACTCAATGGTAGAGCACTTACCCAGCACAAGCGAGACCCTGTTCTTGATCCCCAGCCCTAAATAATAATAATAATAATAATAATAATAATAATAATAATAACAATAGCAATAACAATAATAATAATGAAAGCATAAACCTTGTTCAAGGTGGTACTAGGATTTGAAACCAGATCTGACTCCTAAGTCTGTGTCCCTCCATGTACGGAGAAACCCATAGTGTTCACAAGGTAGACTTATAGCTCCTGACTTCCAATCTTGGCCCCTCCATTACCCCAGTGTATGATTTGAGGTAAGCTGTAGATCACTAAGTGCCTCGGTTTCTCATTCGTAAGGAAGGACAAGTGTCAGTTCATTACTGTTATCACCGACCGTACCCTGGCCCCCTCAGCTCATCAGCCCACAGCATGTGTTCCTGACCTATCGCTAGCTGTTCCTACGGCATGGTCATCTGCATCTGGGCTCTAGCCAGAGAGGATCAGCAGGGTAGATGGGAGACAGGCACTCCGGAAGTGAGGAGCAAGCTGGAATAGGGGTCTTACCTCTCTCTCTCTCTCTCTCTCGCCACCGCTCACTTCTTGTTTTCTTTCGCAGACTTTTGGAGAGAAGCTCCTGGGGGTCATGGCCTGGATCATGCCCATTTCTGTTGCCCTGTCCACATTCGGAGGAGTCAACGGCTCACTCTTCACCTCCTCCCGGTGAGTGCTTGCCTGAGCCCTTCCTGGGCCACTTTTCTGTGTCCATTGCGCTGTGTGTATTTGATGGATTTGTCTGTCAGCAGGCGTCTGGGACCTCCTGAGCGGTGGCTTGCAGGAGTATGCATGTCAGTGTGTGTGCTAAGGAGGGGTCTGCTGTTCCCCGGGTGACCTGTGGTATGTGATGTGCAGGTGGCAGCCCACCTCGCTTTGGCAGCAGGATAGTGTCTTGACTACATTCCTAGAGTCCCCTTCCCCCTTGTCTAGACACAGGCTGCTACTGTCCCGAAAGAAACCCTACTTTGAAAGGGACCAGGAAGGATTCTTATGCTTGAAGCCTCTGGATCTGGCCTCCCATGAATGTCTGGAGCCAGAATCCACATGGGGTGAGATCCCTCTGAGCGTCCTGAGGATGTAGGACTAGGCAGGTGTTGTGAGAAGCCACAAGGCTGGGTAGAGAAGAGGAGAAAAAGGAAACTCTTGTCAATGAGAGAGCCAATAGCCACAACCCCAACCCAGAATTCCTTGGGAAGCCAGAAACATGAGTGGGCCCCAGAACCTTGCCTCTATCTATCCAGGGATCAGTCCAGTCCCCCCCCCTTTTTTTTTTTTTTTTTTTTTTTTGGTGTTTTGAGACAGGGTTTCTCTGTGTTGTTTTGGTGTCTGTCCTGGCACTTGCTCTGTAGACCAGGCTGGCCTCGAACTCACAGAGATCCTCCTGCCTCTGCCTCCCGAGTGCTGGGATGAAAGGCATGCACCACCGTTGCCTGGCTCAGTCCCCTCTCTTATGTCCCTTCCTGCCATCTCTAGAATGGACCACTGGCTGTACAGATATTGAAGGGTTACCATTTATGTGGCGCATAAGTTTTCTGTGCCCCGGGAGCACAGTCCTAATCAAAAGATGAGCCTGGGCTCAGCTGTTTCCCAAGCCACCCTATCACATCACAGAGAAGTTCCCGCGAGGTGACAGAGGTGCCCATGTTTTCAGGATCCAGAGCAATAAAGAGGGAGTCTGGGTTTCACCTGTGCCTGAGGAGGACGCACACTCACGCCCAGCAACCTCGTGCGCACGTTACACAGGAGCCCGGCTACCTGGAGGCCCTGGCAGAGGGCGCGCAGTGGAGGCGCAGTGACCCATGAGGCTCCCTGCCATCTGTTGGAGGAGAGTGGCTGGCTACAGTCGCTTTAGTTTGGGGTTTGTCCCTGAGGCAGGCCACACAGTGGTCTGCCTGCATGCAGCATAGTCGTGTGCATGCAGGAGATGCCGGAGGCGTGGCCTCCCTTCCTAGGCCACCTCTGCTCACCTATTGCTCTTCTCCTCTTCTTCCCTCCCTCCCCTCCTTCATCCTTTTATGTCTTAGTTTGCATTGGATGGTCCTTGCTGAGCAAGCAGAGTGTGTGTGTGTGTGTGTGTGTGTGTGTGTGTGTGTGTGTGTGTGTGTGTTTCTTAGTGCCATCATTCCTCCATTGTCCCCTAGCTTGTGAACCTGACTTGGTCCTGGCTGTATGTGGAGGAGGATCTGAATGAGAGCCTGGCTATGTGCATGACGAAGCCCACAGTGCCCCCGAGGCTCCATGTAGTGCATGAGACTGTTCTGGCTGGAAAGACCGCAGCATGGAGGGGGGGGGGCTGCACGTGTCCGCATGACCTCAGGGAAGCTGGCCTGAGCAGTCCATGGTGACAGCCGCTTGTGGGTTCTCGGAGTCACAGTCAGCTCCCTGCACTTCTGAGTGGCTACTGTTAGCACCATGCTACCCTGTATACGAAGCATGGCGCGGCAGTTCTCTTAGAATCCCCAGTCTGCACCAGGGACAGTAGCGCACGCCTCTGATCTCAGCCCAAGGCTAAATCAAGAAGACCAAGACTTCCAGGCCAGCCTGGGCTACGTATGGCCAAAGCCTGTGCGCTGTCACACTGTCCCCTTCCTGTCATCTATTAGGGCCACTTGCCCTAGAGAAAAGTGAAAGTAGGGGACTGGGCGGGTAAAGGCACTTACGGCCAAGCCTCGTGACCCGACTTTGACCCCGGGAACACAACTCCCGTGGTGGAGGGGGAGAACCGACTCCCATAAGTTGTCATTCGACCTGCACGAGTGTGTCATAGATAGTGCACACACACACACACACACACACACACACACACACACACACACACGAGTAAATACATGAAATTAAAACTTTTAAAGAAAACAGATTCTGAATGCTAAGATGTAAAGGACTGCGGGCAGTTACGTGGTTTTTTTTGGTGGTGGTGGTGTTCTGTTTTGTTTTGTTTGGAAGAGGCATAAAGAAAAAGAGGAAAGGGGCTGCTTTGATGTTATTCTCTCCGTGAGTCTGTCTGTCTGTCTTCCCCACTCGCTCCTTCCCCTCCCTCTCACTTTTTAGATTGTTTTTTTAATTACTTTTTAATGTATATGACTCTCACCCGCATGTATGTCTGTGCACTGTGTGCGTGCCTGGCACCCACAGAGTCAGAAGAGAGTGTTGGGTCCCCTGGCACTGGAGTTACAGTTGTTTGTGAGCCGCCATGTGGGTGCTGGGATTGAACCCAGTTCCTCTGCAGGAGCAGCAAGTGCTCTTAACCAGTGGGTCAGCCCGCCAGCCCCCTCCCCATTTGTGAGACAGGGTCTCATATAAGGCGAGCCTCAAACTGGAAGGCCCCTCCCTCAGGCTTGGAGTGCCTGGTCTGCAGGCCTGCGCCGCTGTGGCCAGCTCAGGAGCACAGTTTGGTAGTCTGCGTTTTTTGTGTGATGTTAAATTGTGAGCGTGTTCTCATAGAATCATTTTCTTCAGAAACGTGATTTTGAGGGCTGAAGAGATGGCCCAGATTCAACTCCCAGCACCCACACGGCGGCTCAACCATCTGTAACGATCTGCCTCCTTCCTCTGGCTTCCCCCGACACTGCATGCACATGGTACACAGGCATACATTCAGACAGACGCCCATACACATGAAGTCAAAATAAATAAAAATCTTAAAATTTTACTTCATAATTTTCCATCTAACAGATGTATCCTAATTTCTTTAGACAATCTCACATTTTAGGCTTTCAGGACATTTACAGTTTGACTCACTACCAGAAGCGTTTTGTGTATGTACCTTTCAGCACCTCTCTATTGGGAATAGAATGAGTCGTTCTAAGGGCATACATTTTAGGTGCAATGTATAAACAGTAGAATGCACAACTTTTAAGTGTGATTGTTGAGTTGTGACAGTTATAGACACCAAAGAAGATGAGCTCAGAACTTTTATTGACTCTCACAGGTTCCCACCTGTCCTTTTCCAGTCCGTGGCCCCTCTCCATACTCACAGGAGCAGTTACTCTTTGAATACAATGAGAATACTTTTTAAAACGTTGCACAGGTAGCCCAGAGCTGTGTGCCAGGGAATCACAAGCCTTTCTGGGTGAGAAGGTTCTTATTTAAAGGAGAAACGCAGCCGGGCAAAGGGACAGACTTTTATTCCAATATTCAGGAAATGGAGGCAGGGGGATCAGGAATTCAAGGTCTGTCTTAGCTACAGAGAAGTTCAGGGCCACATAGGCTCCACAAGAATGTATCTCAAAGAACCAAAAATGAAAAATAAGGGCAGAGAAGCTGTTCCTAGTGCCTTGAAACATGGAAGTGATTCGGAGTGACAGTACAGTGCCCTGAGCCAGCCAGATCATACCCTCAGTGTCCACGTGCCCAGTATCCATCCACTTATCCATTGGCTGCCTCTGGTCTGCCTGTGCCTGCATTTGTGAACATAGGTCCTGTGACTAGTGGGCTGGAAAGTGTGTACACAGAGGCAGGTCCTGGCTGGTGGAGGGTGCTCCTGTGTGAGCCGAAGGTGGGCATGGATGAGAGAGCCTCGGCTTGGTGGTGCCCAGGCTATCCCAGGCTGACCTACTTTTCTCCTTGCCAGGCTGTTCTTTGCTGGAGCCAGAGAAGGCCACCTTCCCAGCGTGCTGGCCATGATCCACGTGAAGCGCTGCACCCCAATCCCAGCACTGCTCTTCACAGTAAGGGCCCCTGCGGCTGCCGGCCCGGCTCAGCTCCTTCCCTCACTGGGTGTCTGCCTCGACTGGGATTCACACTACCTGTACACACACACTTGTCCCCCTTCTGGTCTAGCTCTGCGCTTCAGTAGGACCCTAGCCAAGCTAGCACACGTGGCTATTGGCTTTGTGAATGTCAGGGGATATAATTAGAAAAGATCCGGAGTCTAAACCACCCACCGCTCTCAGGCTGGCTCAGTGTTATTCTCCTGTCCTATTGAGTCAGACTGGAAAGACTTGGGATGCCACAGCCTCGCAGAAACGTGCCTCTGTCCCTGACTGACTGGCACCTGCTACCACAAGGGTACAGCACTGAGCCTGCGCTGTAGCTGGTCACTCACGGCACATGCGCACCCTTCTCCCCCCACCACCACCACTTCCTGCCCTAGGGTATCCTGTCAGCCTCTTGGAAAACGCCATCAAAATAAATCTAGTTCAGGGCACACCTGATAAGAAAAGTCACCGACAGAGGAAAACTCATGAATTGAAGGTGGGGAAGAGGCAGCTTTGAATGGGGGAAGAAATGGAGCAAAAAAAAAAAAAAAAAAAAAACTTAAAAAAAAAAAAAAAAAAAAAAAAGAACAGATGCATTTAGAGCAGCAGTTCTCAACCTGTGGGTCGCGACCCACATGGGGGGTCGCATATCAGATATCCCACATATCAGATATTTACATTACAATACATAACATAGTTATAAAGTAGCAACGAAAATAATCTTATAGTTGGGGGGTCACCACAACAGGAGGAACTGTATAAAGGGGTGCAGCGTTAGGAAGGTAGAGAACCACCGCTCTAGAGCGTTGAAGGAAGGAGGCAAAGACCTGTCCTCGTTAAGTTTTTTTAATCACTTATATTTTCCTTTTGAATCTTGGATAAAACATTACAAATTACTTTGAGCCAGGCATGGCGGCACACACCTTTAATCCTAACACTCAGGAGGCAGAGGCAGACAGATTTCTGAGTTCGAAGCCAGCTCCATAGCAAGTCCCAGGCCGACCAGGGCTAAGTAGAGAGACCTGTCTCAAAACAACAACAACAAACAAAAACAAACAAACAAACAAACAAAACTTATTTTGATCCCCAAGAGAGGGGGTCAGAAGAAGTCGAGGTAAGGGAGCTCACTGGGAGAATTCCAGAATGTTCAGATGCAGAATGAAGGTCCTCTTGATTGGATAGTTGCAGAGATGGCAGAGGACAGTGTTCTCCAGGAGTCCCGCGGCTTTTGCTGGGCTGTGAGTGGCAGTACTATATGACTGCAAGGCAGGTACCGCGAGACTCTGACCTGTTCACCTACTGAAATCCCGTCACCACCAGACCCCAGGGGAGAACTAAGCCTTTCGGTGGCCTTCACAGATTATTGGAGGATAGAGTCTAGTGCATAATTAGTAGTGGGTGGTTCTCACATCAGCCTGACCGCGGCGCTAGGGCTGACGGTATCTGAGGCCATATCGGCGGTCAGGCGTGTAGAGTGCACAGTGCACCACAGGCGTGCATAGAGCCTCTCCCCACCAGTTCATTCCAAGATGACACCCAGATGACTTCCATCAAGAAAATCCCATAGAGATCTTATAGATTTAAATGAGTTTGTATTTGTAGAATGCTAAGAATCTGGCTATTGTTACTATATGTTACTGTTTAACCTCCCCGGGGGTGGGGGATTTCAAGACAGGGTTTCTCTGTGTAGCCCTGGCTGTCCTGGAACTCACTCTGTAGACCAGGCTGGCCTCAGAATTTACAGAGATCCTTCTGCCTCTACCTCCTGCATGCTAGAATTAAAGGTGTACACCACCACCCAGCTGTTTAATCATTTTTTAATGAGAAAAATAAATTAGATCACTCAGTCAAGAGAAAATGATACTAAGAAAAACAAACTTAGAAAGAACTTAACTTAACAGTTAACGATCGCTCTAGGTGGTCAAGAGAATGAAGAGAAAAAAATTAGCTTGAGCCATAATGGAAAGTGAAATATGATGAGATGAGGGCTGGCCAGAGCCGAGTAATACCAGCGTGGCGAACCTGGGTATCCATTCTGAACGATTACTCCCACTCCATAACAGTGCTTACATACTTTGGTTTTACCCCTGTAATAAGAAAGAAGTTCTTAGCCAGACATGGTGGCCCACACCTTTAATCCCAGCACCAGCAGGCAGAGTCAGGAGGATCTCTGAGTTTGAGGCCAGCCTCAAACTGGGCTACATAGCAAGTTCTAGGACAGCTGGGGCTACATTGAGACCTTATCTCAAAAAAGCCAGAAAGAAGTTCCTGGCAATAAAGGTGTCGTCCATCCTAGGCTGCTCAAGGTTGCTGTGAAGTTCCCTCTTGAAATGTCCACTATAAAATAGCACACCTGGCCTGGAGGGGCAGAACATCCCCTCACCCAGGGACGTCCCCTCACCCAGGAATGTCCCCTCCAGTCTCCTTCCTTTGCTCTCGCCTCCCTAGTGTCTCTCCACGCTGCTGATGCTGGTCACCAGTGACATGTACACACTCATCAACTATGTGGGCTTCATCAACTACCTCTTCTACGGGGTTACAGTTGCGGGACAGATAGTCCTTCGCTGGAAGAAGCCTGACATCCCCCGCCCCATCAAGGTGAGAGGATCTGCCTTGAGTCCCTTCCTTTTCTCTTCTGCATCTAGGGCGATGCAGATTTTTGGATCTTTGTAGCTCTTGGCCGTGTGTGTGTGGGGGGGGGGGGGGACAGTCACTTTCTTTCTTCACTCTTAAATCTTAGCCTCTGTGGTTTTCAGGTTTCTCCTATCTGCCCTGCTCCTCCAGGATCAGGGTTCACTACACTATGTCTCTATCCCAAAGTGGGTCTCCTCCTGTCTGCTTGTCAAACGGGTCTCCAGTACCTCCTCTTTCTTGAGGCTGTCCAGTCCATGTCTACAGTCCTTGCTTTTCAAACTCCCGAGACCGCACACAGTGGGAGGCTCCATGAGCTTAGTGATTGCTACTGAAAACAAACCCAAGAAACCCTGATATGGTCTGTTCTGAGGCTGCTCAGGACAAGAAGGAATGGAGGGCAGAGTTCTCTTGCAACTGATTAGAACCTGGAGCTATTTGAGAATCCTGTTCTAAAAACAGACAAGACACTTCTAGAAGATTCTTCTGTCTGAGACGGAAGGACTCACCAGGTCTCTCGGTTCCCCACTGACGTTTTCACTCACATTTTCTCCCACTCCTGGAAGAATGGGGAGATAAAGCCCTCTCCCCACCCTGAGAGGAGCGCACAGGGAGGTAGACAGCTGAAGCAGCAGCCCCTAGATCAGGAAGACCAAGGTACCCCTCACCTGTGATGAGCAAAAAGCCAAGCCTGAGGAGCTGACGCTTCCTTCTGAACAAAATATAGCCCAGGTCCTAGCCTGCTTTGTGCCCTGTTGGCTTCGCTGATCTCCTGGGACTAAGCCATTTTCTCTTCTCCGATTGCTTGAGAGAAATAAACTGAGGCTGGTCCTAGTGTGAGGGATGAGCATGGATGGCCATGGTGCATCCAGATGAGGTCTGGCTTGGAAGCAGATGTGAAGATAGGAGCCCAAACCAGGTCCAGGTCGTTCTCTTCCTGCCTCTCCTCCTCTTCCTTCCGAAGACCTCTGCAAGTGCACACTCATGTCCTAGCCAGCTTCTCATTCCCTGGGCTTCTCTGGTGGCCACGGGCACTTAGATGAGTCATGAGGTCTTATCTGACCTCACCTGGGAGGGAGCTGAACAATAAAGATCCTTCCTTCCCTGTTCCACTGCCCAATTTCACCAACATCTGTTAATACAGCACCTCTAAGAGCCTAAAGTGTGGCACACACAGCTGAATGAAGCTCAGCCCTGGCCCTCAAGGATGAGGATGAAGAGAGAGGGTACCCTCATCCTGAGGGACACTAAGAGCCCTTCTGTCCCACAGGTCAGTCTGCTGTTTCCCATCATCTACTTGCTGTTCTGGGCCTTCCTGCTGATCTTCAGCCTGTGGTCGGAGCCGGTAGTGTGTGGCATCGGCCTGGCTATCATGCTGACAGGGGTACCTGTCTACTTCCTGGGTGTCTACTGGCAACACAAACCCAAGTGTTTCAATGACTTCATTGGTAAGTGGCGGCTAGGGAGAGGGCCTCTTGGGAAGATACGTGGCGGTCCAATGGGGGAGCCCTACCAGAATCAGGAAGCCAAGGTTTACTTCACTTGAGTCCATGGGGCTCCTGATTCAGGGCCAAGAATGACAGATGTCTTTCCAAAGACCTCTAAGGAGAGAAGACCAGCTGTCACCCCCACACAGACCCAGGGGTGCCTACCAGCCATCCATCCACCAGCTCCACTACAGGCTAACTGGAGACGGGTATAGACCCTGGAAATAGGAGCAGAGGTCAGTGGGAGTCAGGGAGTCTAGTGAAAGGCTAGAGCCTTGGTGAATGAGAGGTCGCCATCAGAAAATGCAGGACATGATGAGCAAGCTGGTCTCCAAAAGTCACTGGTTATTCTGAGGTGAAAACGGAGGTGGAAGAGCGAGCTGGCCAGAGCTGGTCTGACTGATGGGGTCAGCGGCTCACTAAACAATGACCTGATTTCTGTATTGTTTCCTTCCACAGAGTTGCTAACCCTAGTGAGTCAGAAGATGTGTGTGGTCGTGTATCCCCAGATGGAGGGGGACTCGGGGGCAGCGGAAGCCGTCGGCGAGGACCCGGAGGAGGAGCTGCAGAAGCCCATGTTCCAGCCTACTCCTGTCAAGGACCAGGACTCAGAGGAACAGCCCTAGCCCTGAGGACTGCCATCCCTTTAACTGACCACTCCCTCCTCCTTCATCCTTTCTGTCCTGCACCCCTGCCTAGGTCCCCCCAACACACACACACACACACACACACACCCCTACCTATACTCCCGTCAGGCAGGGGCGAGACCCAAGTGTCCATGATGACAAATTCTAAACACTGACCTTTGTACCCAAAGAACCTGCTTCTAGCACCAAGACCCACAGTCAAGGTCAGTGCCCCCCCCCCCCGGGGCCTGCACACACTCCAAGGGTTCTAGGAGAGTGGAGGTGCCATGGGTACCCTACCAAAACTCATGCCCTTTTAGGTGCCTCTAAGAAACCCGGTTCACCCCTGCTCCCCTTCCTTGCTCTGAGCCCAGGTGAGACTTCAGCTAGGAATGAGGCAGCAGCCACGGGGAGGTGGTTGGGCAAGGCGAAGCAAACCCAAGTGTCACCGCTCACAGCTGGAGACAGCTGGAGACGCCCAGCTGCCTCCTCATTCCCGGGGGACCCAGCAGACAGAGGGTCCCCTCCACCCTGTACCACTCCACGGCCCAGCCTAGGCCCCCTGGCCAGAAACTTCCCCTTCGGGAGGCCTCCTCCCCACTGAGCTAAGGACCAAGAAGGAGGACCCCCCCACACCCCCAGCTCTAAGCCAGGCTTGTGGAATACAGAGGGGAAGGCTCAGACCGCAGAAGCCCAGCAGCTACCCCGGCTCCGGCTCCTGCCTCCTGTCCCCTCGTGGTGCCAAAGCTCCCTGCAGCCAGAAAGGCTTCTTATGTTCAGTCTAATAGACATCTCTCTCTCTCTCTCTCTCTCTCTCTCTCTCTCTCTCTCTCTCTCTCTCTCTCTCTCTTAAGGGCAAAGCGACTCAGCTCCTCCCCCTACCCCCACGTGAAAGAGCATAAAGAGCCGAGGCCCTTTATCATCCCAGCAGCTCTTCCCACCCACAGCACTGCCAGCCACCATCACCCCTTTACTCCCCCAGACCTTGGCTCAAGAACCAGGCGAGAAGGATCCCCAAGCCCTTCGGGCCTGAAATTCAGAGTCAAGCCAGCCTTAAGTCATCTCCCATCCAAGAACTGGGCCTAAAAATGCTCCCTTGTTCTACCCTTCAGGCCAGACCTGGTGTTAAATGCCTTCCCTGGAAGGAAGGGGGTCCCCACACCCCCACCCCCACCCCCTACCCCAGAGGTGCTCTGCCCTCACCCTGGGGAGACCATGTTGTGGAGGGGGGGGCGGTTCTGAAGGCTAGTTCCTCTCCCCTCCCCCGACTCAAATTGATCCCAACACCATCCTGGCATCCCATTGAGACAAGATGGAAGGACAGTGGCAGATGGCACTCCCTTTGGAGGCCTCAGAAAGGCCCCTTCCATGAGAGCTGCTGACCTGTGCTCTACAGGAAGGTCACAGTGTCTGCCTTGTTCTGGAAGCCTCCACACCTGCTCTGCTAAGGACAGGATCCTTAGGCCACAAAGCAGAACCCCAACCCCCATTCCATCTACTTTAACTGGAACACCCCTGGGCCTTTCCTGGCCCCTGTCAGGTCTCCTGACTTCCCACCTGCCTCACCTAACCCCTAACAGGTGAGAGGCTGGGTTTGGGCTGAATTATGGCCCTTCAGAGTGCAGTCCAGGCAGGCTGTGAGGCCTCTGGGGGACCAGGGACCACCCCTCTACCCCTGTCTTCTCGTTCCTCTGGCCTCTACCCACCCACTCCTTGGATTATTATCTTTTTTTTTTTTAAAGTGGTTGCCTTACTTTTTGGATAAATATTTTTGAAGCTGGCATTTCTATTTCTTTTGGATTTTTTTTAATGTATGGTGGTTTCGGGGGCAGAGCTAGACCCTTAATAATCTGTCACTGAGTTCATTTTAAGTTTTATTGGTTTGTTTTGTGGAGTGTTTTCTTTTCAAGTAATAAAATTTTAAATGGAAATGAAGCGATGATGTTAATAATCTGATGACTGCTGGACAGTGGTGGCTCACACCTTTAATCCCAGCACTCAGGGGGCAGAGGCAGGCAGATCTCTGAGTTCGAGGCCAGCCTGGTCCACAGATTGAGTTCCAGGATAGCAAGGGCTACACAGAGAAACTTTGTCTCCAAAAAAAAAAAAAAAAAAAAATTCAAAAAAAAAAAAAATCTGATGACTTCTTAATCAGCATCAGTGGACATTTTTACTTAATCCAGAAGTCCTTGGTTGCCAGGTCCCTCCAGGACCTCGTTCCTAAAAGCCTTGGTTGCTAGGCCTTTCGGCTGGAAAGTAATAACTACCTCCTACCCTTCTGTGGGGTCCTGAAGGCTGCTGAGTTCCCACTCTGTAGCATCCTGAAATCCTGCAAACAAAGCAGGAAGCAGAACTAGTCACTCTCCACCATCGAGATGTAGGCCAGGGAACAGCACCAGGCAATGATGGAGGTGTACCCCAAGCCTGGCAGGAAAGGCTTTGTGCACTGTTGAGAGAGCCCAGGGGGTCCGGGGAGTCTGTTGGAAGATGAGGCTTGTTCACCCAGCTCAGCAGGAGCACCTTCCAGAATAGTTGCTGGGAGGAAGATAAGGAGGACTATTGGGCCAGGAACAGGGAAAGGAGGAGTTAAAGTCACCTTGGGTGCTTACTTGGGAATTTGTTTTTACATTTGTGTGTGTGTGTGTGTGTGTGTGTGTGTGTGTGTGTGTGCGCGCGCGCGCGCACGTTCACACACATGTGTGAAGGTCAGCAAACAACTTACAGGAGTTGGTTCTCTCCACCATGCAGGGCTCAGGGATCTAACTTGAGTTAGGGTTGTCAGCAAGTGCCATTTTGCTGGCCCCTAGAATTTTTTTTTTAATTAGTTTAAAAAAAAACAAACAAACACATTGGCCAGTCATGGGGGGCATATGCCTCTAATTCTAGCACTCAGGAGGCAAAGGCTGACTGATCTCTGTGAGTTCTAGGCCAGCCTGGTCTATATGGCAAGTTCCAGGACAGTCAGGGATCTCTGGTGCTTTGGGAAGCTGACGGGACTAGACCTCGTCCTTGCTTTTGCCCTTAGTCTCTGGGCAACCCTCCAGCAGCCTCTCCTGGGGCACCATCATCGTTCCAGAGCCAGCTCTGCTGACAGACCTAGGAGCTGTGGGGAGGAGGAGAGCCAACAGCAAGACCCTACCGTCACCACCTGGGAAACTGAGGCACAGGCACCTCCACTCCAAGTTTAGACTGGTATCAATACTCCCGCTTGTGGCCGTCTTTCCTCCAGACAAAGCACAAGTCACGTCACCTGTTTGATGTTTTTGGATTAATATTTGGGTAGGATTGGACTTCGCCTCATTTTCTCAATCTTCTAACCCTTGGTTATCCCAAAAGCAGAGGATGACAGTCCTCTGAAGGTGGCCACCCTCTAAACGTCACGTCACCTTTTTTGAACCCCCATTTCTTTTTTCTGGCCTCACCAACGCTCCTCCACGTGGCCCCCATTCTGGTGTGGTCAGACCTCCCCAGTTCCCTCTTATGTAAATGGAGACAATGAAGATGGATATAAAGTGACGTCTGATGACCTTCACCCTGGTCCGGCGGCAGCTGTAGGTCTCTTGGACAGCGCACATTTCTTCCCAGCCTGAGCCCTTTGCCTGTCTTAGTCCTGACGCTGGCTTTGGTGCTAGGAATTTCAGACCTTTTGAGTTTAGACACTATTTCTTCTTTAGACGCTTTGGGAACCTTTTAGAAGTCCTCAAGTTGCCGGGCAGTGGTGGCGCACGCCTTTAATCCCAGCACTCGGGAGGCAGAGCCAGGCGGATCTCTGTGAGTTCGAGGTCAGCCTGGGCTATAGAGTGAGTTCCAGGAAAGGCACAAAGCTACACAGAGAAACCCTGTCTCGAAAAATCAAAAAAGAAGAAGAAGAAGAAGAAGAAGAAGAA